TGGGGGGTTTATTTCGCGTTTTATCGAAAAACCTCGTCAATTTCTCTTAGCGGGCCGCGCTTATATATATTCGGTGGTGCGCCAGTTCGCATAATTGGAATTCAATTCGTCCGTCGCGAAATTTTATACCCTGAGCTCTGGTTTGTGCCAATCTAACTAGCTATTTTCATTTGCGACTAAGTGGCGCTTTACGCATTTTATTACGCTATCGATTTGGCGCTCGTAGGTATATAGGAGAGGCGCTTAAAGGGAGCGTCGCGCTAACGATTCGGTGCACGATCGCGCCGATATAACAGGCATTATTCAGCACCGCGGAGCACCGTTGAAAGTTTAATCGTTCACATTAATCGACGACGCTCGTACATCGGGCTACATTACGCCAATTACCGGCGATGCATTGCTACTTATATAGGCGTCGCGAACTTTCGACTGCCGTTACGCTTGCGTCCCCGCGGAATACGCCGGTGTCTCTTAATGCGATTATACGCGTCGTCGTCGGGGAAACTCACGATGTCGTCGCGTAACGCAGCAAGATTCTCGATATCATCCGCGCGACGCTCCGCTCTCCGCAACAGTTAATACAATCGGGGGGAAAACGAGCAAATGAGCCTGCTGCGTTCGGAAATGCCTCAGAGACGCGAAAACGGGAGTTGATTGTTACCACGTGAAATATCATTTCTCGTCGAAATATTATTCATCTTCGCATGAATCATCCTTTGCTTCGATGAAATCGATATCCCCTGATATTCCTCGAGAATATCCGACGTACATATTGAGAATTTTATTATTAGAGAATCTCGTGATTCGAAATGCCAGAGAATTCGAGGGTAGAAATCTAAAAGCCTGGGATGTATAAAGTGCACATCAAAGAGAGAATCTCTGAATTATTGCGGTATCGTAGAACTATACATGTTTTACGTCGACGGACGAATATTTTTTTTCCGTCGATAAATGATAATACACGGTCGATTCTTCCGCGATCAAATGACGCGGAAAGTGACAAATGCGCATTTCGAAGATTCATTTAGCTGAATATTTCTGAGAAGGCCAAGCTTGACAACCGGTTGATGCGAGTTATCATTTGGTCCGGCATGCTATATGCGGAGAATTTTCGTATCAACTGCAGGCCGCGGCATGTTATCACGCTGTCACGTTTAATCTCGAAATGACGAGAGAGCGGAGCAACACGGCTCGCTGCTGCTTCCACTGAAATTTTACTCGCGGCGAGACCGTGGCGAATTGACGGCTAATTGTTAATTGAAATAAACCTGCTTAACAAATCAGTAATATCCGTTTAAGTTAATGAAATGAATTAGCCACGGTAGACGCGATGATTTTCGAAGTCGTTCAAATTATAAAGGATCTCGTATATATACGTGGAAACAACGTTCGCAAAGTTCAGATATTAGTTTAGAGATAATGTTAATTGAAAGAAACTTGCTTAACAAATCGGGAAGTCGTTTACGTTAATGAAATAAAGTCGTGGTGGACACGAGTGATTTCGAAATCGTTAAAATTATAAAGAATCTCATATATACGTGGAAACAACGTTCGCAAAGTTCAGATATTTGTTTAGAGATATAACATGTTAATTGAAAGACACTTGCTGAACAAATCAGTAAGAGTTGCTTACATTAATCAAATAAAGTCGTGGTAGACACGAGTGATTTCGAAATCGTTAAAATTATAAAGAATCTTGTATAGAATTGGAAACAACGTTTAGATATTAGAGATATAATATATGCATTGGTAAATTATGTATCTCCGTTGTTATTGGACGTGCGCAAACATCAAAGTTTGTTTTTTTACTTGAATAAACATGAGTGTAAAAATAAACCAGTATAACACTAAGCTAATACATTTTTTAACGAACGAGAATTAATATAAAATTAATACAGTCATTTGTATGCAAGATTTTGATTTTGAAATTCGATACGTAGCTTGTCAGAATCTGTCATTTCGAATAAATATCTCGTATTATAATTACGCGAAGCGCTTGTTGTGGACCCGCATGGTCTTTGTGCTTGGTGTCTTTCCGTTAATTGTTCGCAATTTATTTATTTGCCTCTGACTGCGAAAATGTGTACGACGGAAATGACGGGAGTGTCGTCGGACACATGCGTCATGCGTAACTTACGCTCTAAATACCGTGGAAAACTCGATTATGAAATTCTTAGCGTCGGACGGCGCGGCGCGGCGGAGGCTGCGCGCCGCGTTAAACGGGGCGCGATGCACGCGCTTACGTGTCGCGCGAAATTCTGCATGCCTATATATGGTGCATTTCTGCCGTGAGCATTGTCGACACGCGCAATAATGAAAATTGCCGCAATTATTCCCGTGCGCCGCTCGCGGTTGCAGGTACACGGTAAAGTACTTATTAACGATTATGCAAACGCGTCATATTTTGCTCCAAGGGGAAACATATCGATAAAAGTAATCGATACGTACACGTTACTGTGTCTTCCGCAATTAAGATTATGATTCAATTAAAACGTAATCCGCAGAAGAATTAAATCAGATATAATGTTTTACTATCTACTCTCTGTATCTTACACTTGATTTTATCGTGTTTGCTGCACTTTTAATTTCTCTATATTATTTTTTAACCCAGGAGAATTAAATCGGTTATCCTATTATCTACTCTATCTTGTGTCTTGTACTTAATTTTATTATGTACTTTATACTTAAGGTGGTTCTTTAGTAAAGTGCCGAAAAATTGGGGTCCCTCACCAGGGCCCACTCAGAATAACAAATATTTGTATAATTTGAATAAAATATTAAAACTGTAACGTATATATCTAATGAAATAGTATGTAACAAACAATATTGCTACTTCACGTGATATTGATAACGATAAGAAAGTGAAGTACAATGTAGCGAGGCTATGCGATATTTTGCCATTTCAATATTAAATATCTTTTCGGAATGGCTGATGACCTATTACTGTTTGTGACCATTAAAATCGTAATTTTTTAAACTATTATATCGTTTTTTTTTTAGAAAAGTCTTAAATCACGTTTGTATACAGTTAATCAAAGAAGCGTCTCTGAGCCCAATCTGTCACTATACTTAAATTGTACTTGAAATGTTATATTTTCAACATTTTTTTCCTCTTTTATTTCATCGATAACCTACTAGCATTTTGCACATGTCAAGTTCGGCACTTCAACTTCATTATATAAAAAAATTAGACATTTCTTGAGTTAAGAAATGTCTTACTAAAGAACCACCTTAATTGATTTCTACAACTTTATCTTTTATCACATAGCTGTTCCATTTGTTTTATAATATATAGAGTTAATACACAGATAAAGGACATCGCCGTGTCTTGATTTTGCTGTGAAAGAGAGTAGAGTGGGAGAGAGGGGGGAGGGGGGAGGGAGGGAGAGGGAGAGGGAGAGAGAGAGAGAGAGAGAGAGAGAGAGTGAGCGTAAGAAAAAAATTCCAAGTTTTAATGCGGCGTGCCCAAGGGGTATTCTGCCGACGCGCGACACGCGTTGGCGGGATGTTATCCTGGCCTTAATTACCGCACTGCAGTCCGTCGGCAAATGCCAAATGAAAATCCATGTCGCCGAGGAGGCGGCGCGGCGGTGAGATGCACGCGGTGGCACGAGGGCTCCGGCTCGTGCGAAGTGTGCGCGCGCGAGCAAGGCGTGTGAAACAATGCGAATTATTGCGCGCGGACGCCCCGCGGCTATTGTGTAACGGGCAATTTTAAACTATCGACCATCGCGCCGGTGGCCGGGTATAACTTCTCGGGAATACCGTTGCCACGGCCATCTACCGAAATCCTCCTCCGGTGATGCGCGATGATAGCAGCCCGCAGCTTCTGACCTTTGCGTCCTTAATTGTGTGTGCGCACCACCTTCGAATCTTCATAATAGACGAGAGGCATCCATCGATCGGCGCGCTCCCGAGAGCGCGAGATATTTGCGAGATATTCGAAGTATTACTTTTACAGGCGATCAGTTACGAGTTACGAGAAATTTTATGTCATTATATTTGAAGACGTATATACAGAGAGTAATTACAATTTTTTCTCCCCGATAATTTATACACTGCTAATTAATGAGTTTTTATATGGTTTCGCATTAAATCAAGTGGGTTCCTTTAATTTCATCTCATTATATTTACGGTTTAATGCATGCGCATGTTAATCTGGAGCTCTCTCAAAAGATCCGTTTGGTCTTTCATTTGGTAATTAAAATATTGATTAACATATTAATTTTACTGACGGAACGTGATGATTATAATAAATAAATAATATACAGCTTTAATAAATGTATTTATCAAAGCAGTGTCACAGAAGGATTTCAAAAGTTGAAAGAGGAAGAGAGAGAGAGAGAGAGAGGAAGGTGTATATAGGGAAAAAGATAAATTCGCATATATTTTTATATTTGTGCGATTACATTTAAATATTTATAATCCGATATAAATACTGCGGCATTTTTTATTTGTGAATATCGATCGGCTTGCTGCGATTTATTAAAAGGCGTTTGCCGATTGCCGTTGTGTACGCACGTCTATTTTCGCGATATAAAGCGATAGTTCAGCGGTAGTGCGCACGCAAATAACATGTGGAGGAGACTCACCATATTGCGCCGCAGTGAAAATTGCATGTCTATCTCGCCGCGTGTAAAACCCGGAATCGGACGCACGCACGCACGCATACACACACACACACACACACACACACACGCGCGCGCGCGCGTGCCTCTACTTCACTTTCTGTGTCCTAATTGCATTTACCACGATATGATACCTATATATATATATATGTGCATGCGGACGGTGCGCGCGGCGAGTGTGGCTCTAAGTGCACGCCGCCGTTGTGATGTCGCCGTGCATGTTATGCCGCCGCCAGATCGAAACCCCGCGGATGTCCTGTTCGTCGTTATCGATGTTAGGACGATGGGCGAACGGATATTTTTACGACGCCGACGCCGTCCCGATGTGTCGTGAACTCGCCCGACGATGTTACACGGGCCGGTCGAGACCATGCGGAGCTTTCGAGAGAGAAACGCGCGCTCCGCTCTTCCTCGTGCTTGCCTCGTGAAATTTAATTCGATCTCGCGTACATATTGCGGGATATTTAAAGGTACATCGTCCTCGGTAACAACGCTCACACGTGTTCTACGCCGATCGAATATTTTTATATAATTTAATGGAAAAAAAAAACGGGAGTATTATTGTTCGTAAGCAGGATATGGATTTTTGTATAAAAATGTTTCCACGAACAATATTTTTTTATTGTTTCAACGCAAATAATATTATTTGTAGCTGAAACTACAAATGTTATTGTAACATTAACGTGGGTAAATATAAATATACGTATTGCAGCGTGGTACAGAAATTGTATATTGTAAAATAACAGATGTAATGTGTAAAAATTTATAATCAGTTGATGTAACGCCGATTGCTTTTATATAGACCTTACATATCTTTTAATCATTATTATATCAAAAATAATGGAGATTGATACGAAGTAAACAATTATGTTTAAGACAAATTCAGTTAATATTATTATATAATTAAAGCGTGACATTTAACATAAATGCAATTAATATAATACTCTGAATAGTAAATATCGAAATGTTCTGCCTCTTTTTAAAGGTCAGATCCTTTGACTCAGGTTTTTTATATCTCGGGAAGGGGGGATACAGTTGGACGTATAATTCTAATCTCGACTTGGTGTTCGCCCGAGCGAACACGGGTCTCTGCGAAATTCTGCCGGCACCGGTCAATCTTATAGCTGTTGCTTTATTTCGAGTCCAAAAGGTCTCGTACGAGCACAAATGTGCCCGTTGAGCGGGGCAATTAATCCTTATTTAGATCGACACCCTTATCGAATCCGTGCCACGGATATCTTACTTTAAAGGCGCTTTAAAGCCGAAAGAGCGACACCGTGCCCGCGCGCGCGAAATGTGTGTCAAGAGTTTTGCGATACACACGCTGCGACTGCACCGGCGCGGCGCGACGCGGGCGTTAAAATTTAGATCTTATACTCAAGCCGATTGAGCCGTAAGTTCCGCTCGTTGCAAGAGTTATGAATCGGATAAAAATATATCGCCCCATTGGAGGGATATTCAATCTCGCCGCTGACGTTTTTCCAATTATGTTTTTACGTCATCCATTTTATTGTGGAAGTCGTTAGGAAAACGGTTTCAAATAGAACTGGTCTTAACAAGAAAAGTAGCGGTGAATAATTTATAATTAATTTGGAATCTTAATAGAGCCCTGGTGTTTTATGTCTCTTCTTTTCTGGAATAAAGACAAGAGTTAGATGACTGCTTGATATGAGCCATTTTCTACTTATTATTTTATAATATTAACATAATTATAGGTTGTATTATAAATTTAATTTTATTTTTAATAATTTTTTACAAAAATTCATAAATAACGAATGTAATAAAACAATTTTTGGCAGACATTTTGTCACGCTATGATATTATTACGATATGTCTGTTTTACAGCACAAATTCTGCAGTATAACTGTAGTTTTTTCACAAAAAAAATTTTTTTAAAAAACATTTTTCTCGCTATAGGAAATTTTTAAATTCTGTGATTTCCGTATTTGTACATCGGGACGATTTTATGGAGACATCCATCATAATATTTCATAGGCGCGATTCTAAATCGCCGGAAACGGAACGCTCGTCGGTGTAAAGCGCGCGACGTCGCGAGTGATGGGATATGGGCAAATTTTACTCCAGAATGGCGTTTACTGCATACGTGCGAGTGACGGATACATCCCTGTATACGCATCTCTGGAAATAGGTCACCGTTAAATGGGTCAGGGTCTCTCTCTCTTTCTCTCCTCCCTTTCTCCCTTCTTCTCCTGCGCGTAATCCCGCTTTGCAAAGCTCGCCGCTCAGCGCGCTATTAAACGATACTATTCCCGTGTCCTTCACTCTCTTTCTTTTCGCATACAATTGATTGCACAGGAAAAAACAAATCGCACACGGCATTATACGTTGACGTTACACTTGTTTACACGCAGGGAATCGAGTTTTTTTTTTAAATAGAAGCCGCGAATTGATCGGATATCCTTGTGATTATCGACAACTTCTTAGTTGCTCCCCGACGGGGAGTAAACGTTTGAATTTATGTAAGCGAAATCGAATTACGCGCAAAATGCACTTAGGAGGACCTTAAAAGGGCTTGGAGAAGAATATCGATAGGGCGCTAACTTCAATGTAACTTTCTTCCATTGTTTGTGTTACGGAAATTTTAAAGTAGGAAAAAGAGAGTAGAAAAAAATCAGAGAAAAAGAGCAGGCGGAGAAGGAAGGAGAGAGAGAGAGAGAGAGAGAGAGATCGTTAGCCCAACGTTAGTTAATCTTGATCCTGTCAGTGCAATTTGACTTTAAATTTTGCAGCGTTGCATCGAATTATTTTACTTCGGTAAACTCGTGTTTTATACGTATATCATATTTAATTCAATGTGAAGCACATCATAATTTTTTAGGTAATACAGAATTGAAGTTTTTCAAGAAAAATTTCACCTTGCGAAGATGATTAGCAAATTTCAATAATAATTTGCATCAAAGTTGATTTATCGGTAGAATATCAGATGGGGAGATTTTGTAAAGGTTACAATATTCCTCTTGTAAATCCGGTAATGTGTGTGTAACTTCGACACGCGTCAGCAGTTAATCCAATAAAATATAATTGATGAACCTCATCGAAGTTTTGGAGTAATCTCGAAACGCTCGAAATTCGTTCAGCAGAAATTACACAGTCACGTTGCGAGCTCTCGAATGCCAAGCTGTCTGACCTATTTTCGCGAACCTTGGCAGGATGCGTGCCCTTTTTCCACCATTGGCAAAGACATTGGGCGATATTTCGTAGATTGTGGCAAGTCGGGGATATTATTGTTCCTGGAAAGAGCCTTTTTCCTCTCGGTGCCGGTGATATTTTCTCTGCCACTAACATCCTCCTCTCTACACGCTTTCTGCGTTACTTCTGAAAGTCACGGCTTCTGATTTCATCCTCGGAAGTATCTCGCCGTCCGAGAAAATCTCGCTTTTCAGAACGATCCTGATTTACAAGCAGTTAGCCGACCTCGTCCAACCGACGTGGTCCGCGGAAATGTTATATCGTATTCGCAGCGCGAATTTATATGTAGTCCAGAAATTTTCGGGAACAATCTCATTCGTGGGGTAATAATCATACAAGCGTGAAATACAAGCGGCTCAGCCGAGATCGTAAAATTGATGAGAGTTTTTCTCTATGAGAGAACGTGAAATATGAGAGAGTACGTGAAATACATATATGTAAATTATATATTAATTATATATTATCATTAAATTATATATCACATTTAAAAGATGTAGAAGATTAATATATTAGTCTTCTACATCTTTTAAATGTGATTTTTAAAATTTGTCATTTTTTATGTTTTTTTTGCATTTTTCATTCATGAATTTTAGAAATCTTGAATTATCACAAATCTCTGTGTAGCTCTGTAATCTCTACGCTCAAGTTTATTTTTGTCGTATATTGTTTTTCTTTAAAATTTTAATATATCTAATAAAGTCTCTAAATTTTTATTGACAATACAATTTCCATATTCGCTTATGGCTGGAACGATTCAGGCAATAAAATTAATAGACGATTAAATTTCTTAAACCTGCATTATTATTATTTTACATAAACTATTAACTCGTTGATAACGAGTTATTATGTTGGTAACGAGATAAAAAGTCGAGAAAATAGCGATGATTTTCACTGCTTACGTAAAAGAATCTGGAGAAATTTTATCAAATCAAACCGATTTAACAAGTACATATTTCTTATAGTTCGACAAGTATATATATTACTCTTTCGCACGATCTTATTAGGTCAGATTAAGAGATCCGTAAAATCGGTGAAGTGTGTTATTCATTCAGCGACTATAGATTTTTGACTAAGGGTAACGGAGATTTCTTTTGCAGTACATGACGGAGAAGATGGGCGGGGCAGAGGGAACGAAGCTCGACGTCGATTTCGTGGATATGGAGAGGGTGAGTAGTGTATTTTCGTACATCTTGAGCGTGTGTGAAGACCGAAGGCGCCTTCCACATTTTCGCACGGCTCCTTTGTGAGGACGTCAGAGAAGGGAGATGACTAGCATGTTCTATTTACTGGCATTATTACTGAATTTCTTGAAAGATTCTTACCCGGGCTTTTTTTTTGGCTCCGAGCCTGAGAATCTTATCAATCTTTCAAAACGCTTTCTTGACGCCGCCGTTACATGAAGCCAGAAGCCAGAAGTTGCGAGATTTACTGTGTTATAAAACGAAGTTCTGGGAAAAACTTGTTACCGCCGTCGGCTTTCTTGAATACTTTGCTTTTAACTTTGTTACAACTTGGACGACTCGATACAATTTTTTTAATCGAGATTTACCGAAAATTCCCCTTTGGAATCGCCTTCAATTCTCTGATTACGATTCTTTGTAAGTTGCGAGATTGAATGTGTTATAAAACAAAGTTCTGAAAAAATTTGTTATCGCCGGCTCTCTTGAATACTTCGCTTTTAACTTTGATACTATATAGACCCGATACAATTTTTTTTATTGAAATTTTTTACTGAAATTTCCTTCTTTAGAATCGCCTTTAATTCTCTGATTGCGATTCTCTGTGTGCATTCTTATATTATTAATATTATTTGTAAAAATTGATAGCAATTTTAATTTTGACATAAGATGAAATGCGTGATACAGATGTTATAACAGTCACTTTAATAGAGCCTTTTGAAGCACATAAACAGTGATCTGCGGGGTTTTATTCATTCTTAAATGAATGATAATTATATGTATAATTAAATGAATAAATTTAATATAATTAGAGAATATTAAAGGATAATTCTGAAAGAAGGGCTAACAATAAGAAATTTTTGAAATTTATGCAAAGAATTTATGCATCATAAATCTCGCAGAGACTATATTATACTCCGAGAAGGGCAATAATCTCTCAAATAAATCGCTTTACTATACTCATCTGGATCGATAATTCATTTCGTACGCATCGCGAATATAATTTCAAAGCTTTATAAAGCTCTCCTTGACGTTCTCGCCGAGGTGAATTGACAAGAGACGAAGGGTCTTCACATAAAACACGTCATGTATAGAAAACAGACGTCACGTACGAGCTCGTGGAGGAGCTACAGATGAAGACGAAGGAGTTCCTTCAACCAAACCCGACGGCAAGGGCGAAGATGGCCGCAGTCAAGGGTATCAGCAAGCTCAGCGGTCAGGCGAAAGCGTCCACCTACCCTCAGCCGGAAGGTGTACTCGGCGACTGCATGCTGACTTATGGCAAGAAAATGGGCGAGGACAGCATTTTCGGTACATGCAGTTTAAATCCGATTGTCTTGTTCTTCGCGAAACGAGAAATTTGATTCGCATTTCTTTGTCTAAAATATCCTTCCGAATAGGTATTGGTTTTAAAAATCTTTTTTGTGATGATCTTTTGTTATTATTTTTATTCATATTAAAAACTGAGATTTTTATTCCGTATATTATTCAAAGATTTTACTTTCTCCGTAAAATTATTCTCTTTTGTACGACAATTTTTGGGGGATAAGAATCTCTGGTGATTATTTCAAATAGTTGAAAAAATGATTTGTGTGAGTTACTTAAGTGCTTTCGCACTGGAGTTTATTGACATTTTAAAGTTACGATTAAAAAAAGCGAGACATATCGAGGATCGATAGGTCGTATTGTCTGTAAGCGCCTCCGCACCTTATCTTCCACCCCATGTTTATCAATCCTTGCAGCCCAGGCCCTCATTGAAATGGGCGAAGCCATGAAGCAGATGGCGGACGTGAAGTATTCGCTGGACGATAACATCAAGCAGAACTTCCTCGAGCCGCTGCACCATCTGCAGACCAAGGATCTCAAAGAAGTGATGGTACGGTTATTGGAAAAGTTGTGTATAAGTCGCGCGCTCCCGGCCGGGCGCCGAGCGCTTCCTCTCGCGCTCTCGATCGCCACGCGCGTGCTCGTCGCGATCTCCGATCTCAAATCACCGATTTTGTTGATTTTTCAGCACCATCGGAAGAAACTGCAAGGCCGTAGGCTGGACTTCGATTGCAAGCGAAGACGCCAGGCGAAAGGTACGTTGAGATTTTTTTCCCCCTCGCATATTACCCTCCGCTTCTCGTCTCCTCTTTCTCTCTCTCTCTCTCTCTCTCTCTCTCTCTCGCGTTTCCGCGCTCCTATATTGATTTATTCAAGCGCGCGTGTCCTTGCCACGAACACGCCGTCGTCGTCGCTCGTGATTCGTAGAGTTGAAATAAAAACCGAGACACGCGGAGCTATAACGCGAGTAATGACGCCGGGCGCGATTGCGCCCGTCCGACGACGCGACGACACGCGCGGCGAGACGGTAGCAGCAGCAGCAGCCGTAACCGCACGCTCGTGATTTTCGAGACGCGGCGGTGTCATAAAGGAAAACGCGGAAGATGATATTACCAGGACTCGGCTCTAAACAGTCGAAAGGTCACAACTGCAAAATTGTCATTGTCGAAGAGATAAAAGTGCCGTAACCGAGGCGGAGATTATTTTCTTCCGCCGGAGAAAACCTCGCAGTTATACACAATCGTTATTTTGAAAAGAGAAACGTGATGAATAGAACATGGAGAGAAAAATGCGTCAACTTTCTGTAAAAAAAAGACGAATGGCAGAAACGCTATTTTTTTAACAACGACGATTTTTTTATTTATTCCTCTTATATTTGTAATTCTTTTTTCTAGGAACTATGTACCTACAAAAAATACACATAAAAATAAAAATTTAGAAATTTTTGGAGTTTTTTTTTTATATCTTTGTAAGTTTAATCTTATATCTTGCATTGTGACACAATTTTATAATCTCGTCTGGTACTTTTTCATTCTTGCCGTATAATTTCAGCATTATTCACTTGGTATGTCGACAAACGATTCGCTTTGACGGTTATATCGTTTTCGCGACTTTCAAGATTTTCAGACAGAATTTCCATTTTGATTTTTTTACTTATATTTCTCCAGCGTAATGCACGCCGGTGGATTTTTAAGCGCTTTATCAAGACAGCTTTATTTTCCATTGTTAGCATGCGTGTGGAAAAACAAAATTATGTTTTTCGTATATAATTTGTCCCCTTAGAATATGATTATCACGATAAAATCGTTGCATGAGTGGATGCAAATGAAAACTTTTTTGCAACATAAAGAAGAATCTCTTATACTCGCATGCTGCGTCGCATGAGCACGATCAAATAGAATCACAAGTCAGTGCTATAGTGTGGACTTGAAAGTAGGGCGCGAGAAGAATATATTTTTCTTTAATGTGCGTTTTACCCAGAGAAATTATTTTTCATACAATTAGCTCGCTTACTGCAGCAGAACCATAGCTAAAAATGCAGAAAATCTCTGTGGAAAAAAGAGTGACTTTGACAAGGCAATTATCCGTGTATTTTACAATTTATATAAATTAAGCGTATAATATTTTTAAATCAGATGTAATTCAAAATAAATTTATACTAACATTACGGTATATTAATTTATATATACATATAATATTTTATAAGAGTAACACATATTGCGATAATAACTGTCAGATCTAACAATAAGTCTTTGTTAAAATTTAGAGAGATATAATAATAATGTCTTTGTTAAATTAAGAGAACTTTAATATAATCGCAAATTTGAATTTTGCGATAACTTTGAATTTTTAGTTTGTTCAGAATAATAAATAACAAGACTTGATTAATACTTTAATAAGCAAATCCCAAATAGTAAGCAAATGACCTCAAATCATCTGGCCGGATTTTATACTCAATAATTTTGTGAGTTTTATATGTGCATCTCATTTTTATCTTATTTTTCGAATTTATTAATACGACATGTTTTCCGCCGTCGCGATTCTTTTGTGTCATTCGCTCCGAATTTGCTTTCCGCTTTCTGCTGATAATCGATGTGGCCTGTCTGTGTTTCATTGGGCGACCGCTTAAATTATTAGCGACTGGAAAAAGATCTGGCAGTCCACATTTTGGAAGTCCGGCGCGATCGAGTACCTCGTCGCCGTATGTTGGTATGACTTCCGTTGCATACCTAGGAGCTTGTGTCCCATATTTTTGAAAATTCACATATTGTCGATCAATACTTTCCTGTATCGCCCGTAAAGTTCCCAAATAGAAAGAAAATTTAGAAAATATCCAAAATTTGGGTAAAATCGAAATTAGAGTGTTTTTTTGTACTTTTTCCACACAAATATTGTTGAAAGATATTTTTAAACATCCCTGAAAAACACTTCTTCTAATTAAATATATCTATTAGCCTACGATATTTTTAGTTGTGAATGAAATATATCTATTAGATATATGTTTTTAGATATTTTTGACAATCTAAAATTTAAACTATTGCGCCGTTAAGTCTGTATGCGTTGTTGCTAGTTTTAGAACTGTTAGAAATGATGGAATTTTGCGAAAGTACCCAACGATACTTAAACACGCTTTTTGATAGCGTCAGAAATACACTTGTGCGCGCTCGGTAGAACAAACTACGCTTTCTTGTATACCCGCTAGATTAGTAAGTGTTTAGATTTAGGTGATGAAGCAACCCAGTAGTGCAACCTTTTTAATGCCGTCGGCGGGTCAACCGTTTGCGAACAGGTTCTCACGTTTCAGACGACGAGATTCGTCAGGCCGAGGAGAAGTTCGCCGAGAGTCTGCATCTTGCGCAGATGGGCATGTTCAATCTGCTGGAGAACGACGTGAGTCGTCGTCGCTAATTCGAAAATATTGCGTCTCGAAGCGCGCACATCGAGATGTTCTTACGTCGTTCTTTTGCAGGTCGAACAAGTGGCGCAATTGGCAACTTTCAGCGAAGCCCTTTTCGAGTATCATCAACAGTGCACTGAGGTTCTAAGGGGATTGACGGAAACGCTCTTGGAAAAGTACGTCTGATTGCAATTCAAAATCGTTGTAAAACTCGATGTTGAATGTATCAAATATGAATTTTCTACACAGAAAGATCGATTTTGCTGGATAAAGACTTGAAAATAATTTTTGCTGGACCATTAAAATAATTTTGTTGGAAAGTCAAACTGATTGCTAGAATATCATAACGTTTTACAGTAAGTTATTATTTTTCAGTTTCCAACAAAATTATTTTTAGATCGAAATTTTTTAACCTTTCAGCAAAATTGTTCTCTCCGTGGATAATTTCCATAATTTTCTCGAAATGCGTACACGGAAAGAGCAATTTTGTTGGATCCAGATCTGAGAATAATTTTTGTTCAATAATCAAAATAATTTTGTTGGAAAGTCACAATGATTCTTAGAATATTAAAACGTTTTATATAGTAATGCTTATAATTTTTAACTTTCCAACAAATTATTTTGATGATTGAACAAGAATTATTTTCAGATCTGTATTTGGCAAAATTTTTAGATCTTTCGACAAAATCGTTCCTTCCGTGTATTAACGAATGAGTCTTATTGTTTTACGATATTTAATTATTTCATTTTACTTGAATTTACAAAATGTGCTCGACCGACTGCCGTTTCCTCGAGTAATGCAGTCTACGTAAATGTCTTGTACTCTTTAGGAAAGAGGAGGCCGTAAATAGACCAAAACTGGAATTCGTGCCGAAGACACTGGCGGATCTGCACGTGGAGGGCGGATTGTCGGACCATATGAACGGTGGGAACTTCTCCCTTCACGGTAAAACACATTTCACAAATACTCCACTACACCAACGCGCGACGACACTCGGTCGTGGACTCTGGCTGTTTAACTGTTTCTTCTTCCTCCTAATTCTCTTTCTGTCATCCCAAGCGGGGAGGGGAGTGTTTAACGTACTACATTAACCAATATATTGCATTCTCCTGTCTCTCTTATCCCGTATACGGGGCGTCCTTCGGGGCGAAAATTATTCGGCGAGTTGTGTCTAATATTCCGTATTCCGTTTCTTTGTTTCCGCACGTATAGAAACCTTATCTACGAACTTGTCAAAAAAAAAACCTGGAACGGGACGAGTCACTCCGAATTTTGTCTCTCGAAGTATTTCTTTATACGATATAAATGAAATATTATTTTCTTTTGCTCTTTTATGGATTGAACATTCAAATCGAGACAGAAATTTTAAAGGACTTGACTTGGCGCGAGCTACAAAAACCGGGAAAATAGGAACATAATTTTTCTTCCGTTTAGCGGGATAGCGGAAAATAAAATACGGGTTTACAAGGATTACAGTGTAAATTAAGTTTACTTGAGAAGTTAATGGAACGTCGATGTTCGATTAGTTGTCGCGAGATAAAGCCTCGCGGATCCGCTAAACAGACGTTTATCGTACTCATCAATTACACGTACTATCGGACGTTAATCCGTCGGGGATCGATCTCGCGCGATTACGCGCGAAATACAACGCGCACACACACGTACACACACGCTCTCGCCACCACACACTCTGTCACACAACGTCACCCCCCATTCTTCCTCCGATTGTGCTGTGTGTATAATGTGGCATACCTGTCTGTCCTTCTGACACAATGTAGGGTCAAGTCGGGCAGGCTCTCCGATTCATGCGGACGGGAAGCGCTCGCAGCTCGAGCTATTTCCGGCCGGAAACCCGCCACAATCTGCCAATGGTAAACTTTGCATGGGGGTTTCCTCGTTTCTCTCTCTTTCTCTCTCTCTCTCTCTTTCTGTCCAGCGAACAAACGAATTCCTTTTCGAGTCGCTCGAGGGCGGCTGCACCAACTGTTGCGCTGTTATAAGGGCGCCGTAATTATCGTAAAAGTTTCTCGCTTCATAAAAAAAAAAAAAAAACAGATTATCGAATCTCTCAGGATTAGTAAGCGAGGCAGTTGGTGCGACCGATCCCGCGTAATTCTCTTTTATTTTTTTTTTTTCGACGGGATTCGCCATCGCTTTCTCGGTGTATATGCGACACTGATGGCTGATGCACCATGCACGTTTATTAGATAGTGTCCTGTCACTCTAATGCCGTAGAAGAGGGTTGTGTATTGACTAGTTTTTAGGTAATCGAATGAAATCCAAGTTGAGCAAGAGGGAACGTGTAGTGATTTTTATAAATCCTGTATAATGATACTAAGTTTAAAATATAATATAATTGGATTTAAATTTCAGTATAAAAAAAAATGTAGCAATTTTATAAGATGAGAACATATAATGTTTCTTATATTTTAACTTGATAATTTTTTTTATTCGCGAAGCAATGAATGTTTTGAAAGATCATATTTTTTTAAGACTATTTTAAACCAATAATACTTTACAAAAATTGGGACAATTGTCTCCTTCTTGCTGCAAAGATTTCAATTAACTCACGCAGCTTCCATCGACGAGTAAACATTAATTTTCAAGAGATTTACTTACTTTTATCCTCGAGCACTCTCGGCGACGTTATTTTACTTTCGTACTTAAAAAGAAATCGACATCATACACCGCTGCTTTGTGCGACACGAGTTTTTCCGCGCTAGACGGTTCACGACCACCTGCACGGGCAGATTGTTAAATGTGTAGTTTTGAACGCGATGCGCGACACGCAGTCACACTGTGACGTGTTTTTTTTTTACGTTAGATTAGCGCGGCTTTTAGTAGTTTAGCACACTCTTGCCGACTATTTTCAGCTTCACCCTTGCCCTCGCCGAGCAAATCGCCAGCGAGAACGCCGATGGCACAAAGAACGCCGTGCTGCACAGCTCTGTACGACTTCGAGCCCGAAAATCCTGGTGAACTTGGATTTAAGGTAAGATTTTACAACGTTATTCGCCAAGAATTCGAGCGTTTAAAAAATGTCTAGAGAATGTTTAAAGAATATGTAATATTCTTCAGAGATGAACTATATACCTTAATTTGTCAAACGATTTTTAGAAAATATAAATTTAAGAATATGATTTTATATTTAAAGCAAATTTTGTATGTTACGAATTTGGTTCCACTTTTTTGCAATCCTTTCAATTATTCGGAACCTTCGTCACTTTTTTTTTCTAGACTTTTCTGAACTTGAATTCTTGATTTCTTTGGACGCGAATGATCGACGACGATCGTTGCATCTTAACGAGTTCGTTTTCTTTGCAGGAGAACGACACGATCACCTTGACTCAGAAGATCGACGAGAATTGGTACGAGGGCAGCCTGGACGGCCGCACCGGTTACTTCCCCGTGACCTACGTGCAGGTCGTAGTGCCATTACCCTAAGAGGACGCCGCGCATCTCGAAGCCAAAGACCCAGCGTATTCGTTCACTAGCGTCTACCATTATTACAGGATTACTCTGCTCTCCAGCTAGCCTAAAAAATCTAGACGACCCTTCGACGACCTATCTTTACCTTATATCTAATATCGTCACTTACGTTGCGAGACTTTCAAGCTTATAACGTCCAAGACACGAGGATCCCGAGTTTCTCTAGAAACCTTTCTCCCCGCCCTCTACACACAAGAGACACACACACACACACCTCCCCCTCCCTCCTCCACAGACCCCGAGAATAGACCCTCTGTTACGCATGTTAATGTACATATATAATGTTATAGTGTATTTTATCGACGTAAGGACCTTCGCGCGCGCAGAGTTATAACACACATATACACACACGAATGCATACCCAGGAAGTACGTGCATAGATACATATAGACGTATTCTACATATATTATATATATATACATATATATCTATACAGACACAAGAGACACACACACACACACACGCAAATACCTATATTAATATACGTACACGTATATAATATATTCGCATTATACAGACACACTCAGACACATCAAAGTACCTACGATAGCAGTTTCACTGTCAAGGGCGGCTCTCTCCTCATCTACTTTTCTACATTATCTTCCGTCTCGTCGAAATGCTTTCGGGATACTTTCAATGCAGTTCGAGTGCACAAAAAGGAAAGAAAAAAAAATCGAGCCTAGCGTGAATATCGATTTATGGCGGGGAGCGTGAATTTTCCGATAATTCCCACTGTCATTTAATTAGTTTCCACCACCGAAAGTGTCGTGTCGTTTTTCGAGCCGACAACTCGGCGCTCGTTCGCAAGCTCTGTTTGCAAGCTATACTTCGTCCGGATATTACGATATCGCTTGTGGATTTCGAACGGGGGGGATCGATTACTCCAGTCGGTTGAATTCGTCGTTAAGGTAAGTGGAAGCTTTTAGCCTTAGCATTACTTCTCTTGTCGAAATTATAGGGTCAATTCTGGTTAGAGCTTCTCTTAATAATAATAATTATTAACATTAATATTAATAATGTAATCATTAATTAAAGAGAGAATAACTGGAATTGTGTTAATCAGCAATTAGATAATTCAATAAAGTAATGTCAGTTCAATAGTAAGAAAGAGATCGTTAAGCTTCCAATGTATAAGAGACGCTGTTACGGGCTTGAGATTCTTCTTTGACTGTTGCATTTTTAATTGTTATTACATATTTAATTGTTACGCGAGAGTGAATTTTAATGCGGCTGGAGCGGTCTCACTCCCGTTCTACTTGCTCGCTCTCCTTTCGCAAAGGATTATTGGCCACTAAGTCGCGTAATTCTCCTCACGACTCTCATTTATCGCGTTAATTAATTAAATTAAGCGCACGGCTTTCCCCGCGAGAGTTCGATCGTTCAACCGCGGCACATGTATTTTTCCGCGCGGCGCGCAACAAACGCGTGTACTCGTGTAATGTACTCGTATTATAATAATAATAATGTTATTGCAATTCGTGTTTCCATTCCCCAGTCGATTGACCGTTCTCTCGGCTGCTTATCATTCTCTCTTCATTTCCTCCATTTTATTTCCTTTCTTTTCCTTTTTTTTTTTTTTTTAATTAATTGCTAGGCGACACTAGCTTAGAAGTTAGGATTTACTTTAAGCGAACCTCGAAATGGCGGCAAATCTCTTCCACGAAGTCATTATCTGTGATTATTGTAGGTAATTGCTGGCATCGATTGTTTTTGACAGTGACGATCTAGTTTCCGTTGTCGGAAAACTTCCGGGTGTTGATGGATAGAACAAAACTTAATGGCGAATCGATTTTATTGGAAATTGTTGTACAGTCAATGACCTTGTGTATCCGCATGACCACTCTTTTAGATTTATTATTAATCGTAGAAAAATACTCGATGGTTATCGAAATATTTAGCTGTGGCGGTTTCGGAAGAAAAGAAGTCATCTCCGTGCCGGAAATGCCAATATACTGTTTTAAAACATCACAGTACTGCGAAATGGTGAAAAGTAATATAAATTTTTTAATCGTAATTTTTAAGTTTTTTTTTTTTATCGAATTATCAGCACACCCGAAACTTTTTCCGACATTCTTTACGATATCTTTTACACAATTTGCGTCGTTTAATTAAACGTTTAATCGATTATCCAAAATGTGTAAATATCGTTTCGTATATAGTTGAGAAAAACGGCCAGACGCGATAGTGTTTAATTAATTATTAGCTCTCGGGTGTAATAGCGCGAGAGTGAAACGAGAATGAGGCGTAACAGACTTCCCGTTTAACCCAGAACGTTTGTACGTTTAAGTATTGTATTTTACGCGAACGCGCCCGGCAAAACGATTATTACTTTCGCAGCGTCCCGACATCGGGTTTCCTTTCCGCCCCGCCTCTCCTCTTCTGGACTTTGTATGAGAGTTCAACCGTCAGAACAATGAAAGTAATTAAGGAACTTGGTTATTTGTTGCCACGTGGATTTTAGATAAAAACAAAAATCTTCGAGCGAGATATCTGCTAAGCGTAATGTATAATTGACACTAGAGTATATATATTACTTACACGTATACATATTGTCGATAAAAGGTGACGGCGAGAAAAAAAAACCCGACCGCGTTATCTCTCGCATTAATCATTGTTCATATATTTTATTGTCCATTTATTATATCATTGTAATCGCCGCACTGTGGCAGAAATGTTCTTGATTACATATACACATTGTATTCAGAACGGGATTCTATGTTGAAAAAAAAAAAAAAGAAAAAAAATCGAAGGATTTTCGACTCGGGACATTCTCCGAATTGAGCGTGCCGTCAGTAGGATGTAAGACAGATACCGCGGGAGACACATATATAAGCTAATCTGATTTCGTAGCTTTCAGCTTCTCCCGATTGATTTGTTTGCCGTTCGTTAAATTGCTTCCCGTGCGGTAACGTAAGATTGAATAGAGCCGTAGAGCTAAAGAATTTTTAAAGAAAGTTGTAAGAGTTTTCGTACATATATATACATAGCGTAGAGCGCGAGTATAATGGTAGACGGATGGGGGCTTAACGTAGCGCGATAATCTCTTACATTCCGTTGAAATTAGAAAATACCTACGATATATACGAGTGTTAAAGTGATACGTAGCTACATAGGTGGTAATACACGGTCGAATCGGAGAATGTTTCCTTGTCCCGCAGAGCGATACGCCGATAACGAAGGCACACACGCGCGTTCGTTCATGATTAAACATAACTAAAGTTTACGATCGCTATTTACCGATTACAACATTACCACCGAGATGTTATCACTTGCTGCTGTCACCGTCGCCAGTTAAGTCCTCACTTGGAGACAGGACGACGAGTAACGGGAGTTAAACGGAGGTCGTGAAAAACGTGGGAAAGAAAAAAAGGTCCGCATGCAAATTTCACCTACACTATAATCGCTGTGAGATTAAAAAAAAAAAAAACGAAATCCCTTTCGGAACTCGAGGTGTTATCGATGTTATGCAATATTAAGAGTTTAACATCACGGTGTTTAGCCGGTGGGGGNGGGGGGGGGCATCAGATGGATCAGTGTTTCTCAAAGTATCGCGAAGATTTACGCGGGCACGGAGGGAGGGGCATCGACGAAGTGGAGCGAAAGTGAAGGGCGAATTGGATTTCGAATCGGACTAATACCCAGAGATCATTGCAGCGATATTGCGGCGACATTGCAATTTTTCAACAATATTGTAGCAATATTGCAACGTTGCAGCAAATTCCCGTGATGTATGGGTATATAACTGCTTCTGAATAAACGGGCATGAAGGGTGTCTAATCTCTGCCAGAAATTTATATTAATTTTCCCTCTTGCGCGCGACGGCGACGCGAACCGTGTCGAGGCCTCCGATCACTTTCGTTCCAGCGATCTCGTCCGACGCGAAGCGACAAATCCGCGTAAAACGGACGTGAACATCGATTTTCATTCTCGGTTATTCGCATGGTGTACTCTGCGCGTCATCGTGATGGAATTACTTTCTGGGGGGGGGGGGAGGAGCTCTTTAAAATTTCCATGAAATTGAATCTAAGTTAAATACGAACGAATATGCACGGCGTGGTTCGAAGTTACGGTCCAACGTTCTTTGATGAACACAAATTAATTACCGAGCTGAAATTCAAAAATTTTTTTAAATATAAATAAATAGCGCAAAGGTAACGATGGTTGAAATTAAGAATCTAATTGAATTTATCTCGCAAATAGATAATATTAACGTTTAATTTTTAATGCACTCTCTTTGTATTATAATAGAAATTTAAGATAGAAAAAATTAAAAAATGAGTCATTAAATTTCATTAAACTTCGATGCGAGTAACCGAAGATTGGAACAAGCGACTTCGACCCCTCAAAGCTCGATCGTAATGGGATCACGCTTTTTGTCTATATAACGAGGGACTGGTGAAGCTTTGTCAATTAGAATGATAGCAATAAAACGCTGATTTTCTCGCATAAAAAGTTAGGGGCGGATGATGATTGTTCAGGGTCCGAGGCTAACAATTTCTACATCCCCAGTGAGTAATGGAAATAAAGAAAAAAATTAAAATTTCTTATTCTACGCAATTGACAAGGTATCTCAAAACTACTGCCACAATCAAAAGACGTAGACATTAGACAACATATTAGCAGTCTTCAAAAACCTAACAGTCTTAATATTTAATGTAGTTTTAATAAATTTTGGTAAATGATAATTTTTTAATAAAATAATTAGAGAGATATATATAGCCTAAAATCTTAATTTGAAACAAATTTGTTAAATCAGCATTTCAAATGAACAATTAATTGCACAAATATTTAAAGTAGAAGAGTGTAGCGGTATTTTTGTGATGCCATGAATAATTTAAAGAATGGGACGAACATTTAGGAATGAAACTGTTTATATGGGGATCGCTGGATTTGTTGCAGGACCCGAGCTTAAATACTCTCACTGTCCGTACAAATTCGCTCCTGAACGAGAATTCTCGCTGACCGGCAGGGGAAAGAAATAAAAATTTGAGAAACACTGCGTTGGGGGAAGAAGCGAGAGAAATATACATATACATGCTATTACTACTTGTGCGGGAAGAAATTTATATTGCTGCGTGATATAACTATGTTAATTTATATATATATCGCGTCGGTCCGCGCTTTTTGCGTTTCGATTGTTCGTGGACCGGTTCACGCGATCTGGCACGGCGGATGAAGATGAAGGGGAATAAATAAAGAGACACGAGAAAGGCGGCGAGATTGGCGCGATCGCGAGAGAGAATGAAACTTAACGATAAATACTAAAATCGGTATCTTATTCTATAAATGTTGGCTATTGTTAAATGTTGAATATTGTTCAGCGACGAGTTCGCACGCATTTGCACGAGGAACACGTGTTTTTTTTTATTACTCAACGTTAGTTTTTATTTCAATATTTGTACCTCTGTGATTCGAAAGAGGAATTAAATCGCTCCATATCAAACTGCTCGAATCGTTGCCTTAACGTAGTCAATTCTTAACGTTTATTAGTGTTCTTAAACATTTGAACATCTTTATCTTAATATTTTATTAAGTGTACTGAAAAAAATATCAGTTTAATATTAATACGTTAATTCTGTTAAAACCCTCATTCATCTCTCTATCTTGGTAATAATGGATAATGTTTTAGTTAACTTCGTCTGTTACTGTGATTCACTGCATTTTATTTGTACAATGTATTTAAAAGAAAGATAAAAACAAATGGACAATTTTTTATATATAAACGTACTTTAAACATTTCAATGTAAACGCGTGCTTCTCGGGCGAGCGTGACTAGCTCTCCGCATTCTAATTGTAATCTAATCTATTTGGGGATCGAGCGGACGCGCCGGATCTATCGATCCCCGCAAAAAGAAAAAAAATCACTGAGCATCCTTGGTCACTGGAGGAAGGAGCTTCTGGTGTTTTTTCCCACCTTGTCCACTTTTCCTCTTAGAACTTCCTTGTTATGCTCTCTTTGTCTCTCTTTCCTTCTTCCTTCCTCGCATTCTCCTCTGAAACGTAAACGTCTCTCTGCGACTTCCTGTATGTATGCGTGTGGGATCGGCACGAATCTCGTGTTTCTCGACGTGTGCCGGGCCCACTTATATTTTGTAAGCGCCAGAAAATCCGGGATTTGCGGGAGACACGAGATGCGTCGCGCGCGTTATTAAAAAGAAAAACAACAACAACAACAACAAAAAAGAAATGCGGTGCCCTCTCGACAATATCCTGCCCTCCTCGGACGCACCCCCGCCCCGCGAGCCGTTTCCCGTTTTGATCCCCGTTTTGACGAAGTGCGAAGGGGGCGACCAGTGGATGCAACACAGTGATACTTTCAGACAATACATTACGATTAATTACACTTGTATTGGTAATAAATTAATCTACTACGATTATATTGAACTCGATTAAAGAGAAATATACGATATATATATATATATATATATATATATTCGATTTCGGTCAATGCTAAATGATTATTATAATACTAATTGAAAAATAAAGTGTGCTCTATGTCACGACGTGGATTTTATTCCGCTCTTCTGTTCCCGCATTTGGTTCCCGTTTTTACATAATTAACCGTTAATTATGTTGTGTTAATGTTAAATTATTAATTCGCATTTTATTATTTTAGATTATTTTAGAAATCGGTTATTTTGACTGCTCCAAGCAATGCAATGACCTTAATATTGATTATTTTGTATTTATAATTTTGATATATTATAATTCTAGTAAAACTTGAGAAATTTAATTAATTAATTAATCGTGAGCTCCATTCTCTAGTTACGTTTATAACAATATTTTATTATTATTAAGGTAGAACTATATTTTTTTAAATCCGCTATATTATATTCAATTACTCAACTATGCTTACGCATTATACATTACAACAAATTTATCTCTTCCCCTCTCTTTTGTTAAGTATGTCTCAGTTGTTATGTAAAAACGTAACCACGAGCA